ATCGTGTATGATAGCTGAAAGAAAACATGAAAAGGCCAAAGGGGATCAATGGACAGGAAATTATTGAGGCAGTAAGTAATAACCATGGATTCCTAAGTTCTTTCAATTTATGAACAATCTTTTCAGGTAAGCGACAGGAAAACGTTGACCCAAAATGAGCGCCTAACACACACACACACACATACCTTTAAAAAAAAATACCAACAATGTTACTTAACATGTCACCTAACGATCTAAGTGAAATGTCAAACCCCCCGAAACTAAAGACAAAAGAAGTTAGATTAGAGCCAATAATTAAGAAGCCCAATTAATGAGTTCAATTCCTCCTATAAATATGTACCCGAATCGCTCCTTTTAGTCTAGGCAGCTAATCTGAGATTCACACGGAGAAAAACTGTGGAGAAGTTTACTTCATAATTTATATGGTATATCATCATCATCGCCTTCATCGTCGTCGACGGGAAAACTAAAGAAATAATGACTGTGGGGGGGAATGGGAGTAGAAGCCTCCTCTGCCTCTGTCTTCTGCTCCTCTTGGCCGTTGTCTGCTCTGCCAGAAACACCTTTTTTATCTCAGGTAACCTTCCCAACTTAATGCTATATTTGCCTTTAAACCATCCATCTCTATTTATCTTTTTTTTTTTAAAAAAAAAAAAGGTAAACTTGATCGTGTTCAAATAAGCGTAGATGGTGGTAGATGATAAACGGGTTAATTTGTTCTTAATTGTCCGACCTGGATCTTTCTTAACATTATGCCCACTAACTCCTGAATTTGTGTTCTCAATAGCAGAATTCATATTAACTTCTTGTGTTTTTTTTTTTTGATACCTGTAGAACTATTATGTTTCTAGTTTTCATCAAATGCATATCATGACACCCTTTGGGGAGAGATTTACCTCCCGAATACGGATCTACATATCACAATTCAAGTTTCACGAACAACAACAATAAGCCTTTTTATCACTAGATGGGGTCGGCAAAACGAACAAAGGAAAAAAAAAAAAAGAGCAAAAAACAGAAAGAAACATCATTTTCCATCTGTTCTTCAAAGTTTTTGGTATAGGCAAGATATGGTGTGACTTTGCTTTAAACATTTCAGCTGTTTGTGATAATCGTCTGGTCAAACCTCTAAAGCAAAAAAAATCATACAACTGCTTAATCAGTGCCAGTAATTTTTTTGTTTATTGAGTTCAATCTGCACGAAAATATGAAATTAAAAAGCGTACTTAGAGGAGAGTAATGAATGGAATGAGCATAAGGCTGTCAGAACAGCCATAAGGGTGGGTAGTGGGTACGTCCTAAATCCTTGGTGAAGAAATTATAATTAAAAACTTTTAACAAATGGAATCTTTGCATATATTCAATGAACTCTCCATGTTGGTTCAGGGAATCACAGGATCATACATATCTTTTCCGATCTACACCAGTTATATATTCCTTTTCTTTTTTTCTTTTTTTTTATAAAAAAAACTCCTGAATTAATTAATGCAAGTGTTGTTAATTTTCTAAAACACGTAGTTTGATATTAACTTCATGCCAAAATGTATGCAAATTAACAGAAGAGGAGAAGAAGATGATGGCAGCTGAAATATTGGAAGGAAGGTCTCTGAGAATCGTCGTCGATGATTACGGCCGAACTGGGCCAAACCCTGGCCATAATCCCAAGAAACCTCAAAAACGAGACAAGAGACGCGGTCATAAGCCCTGAATCAAACGTCGTATTTTGATTTACGGCATGTTCTTGTTTGATGAATATCATTTCCGACCAGTGCGTACTATGTTTTCGTATATGAGTTAAAAACGGTTATCATTTATGTTCTTGTTCCAGCTTCTGCCGCGTATTCTATATATTCTACCGCGAAACTCTGTCATTTTTGTGCCCGAATTACATGATGTTCATGTACTTTGGGTTGTAATCCATTCTCCTGTCTGCAGTTGTTGATGAATATGTTATAATAATAATAATAACAATAATAATAATAATAATAATAATGATGATGATGATAATAAGGCTGTTTAGTCTTGGTTTGTTTGTTTTATAATCTTTTTTTTCTTCCCTGTGTAATGAAAGAGTCTAAATGCAAAACAATCACATTAATTAGAATTCTAATAGCTAGGTTCTTAATACTCATTCCATGTCTGAAAAACAAATCATTTTGTGGAATTAAAATAACGTAATGAAGTAGACTATTGAAATAAGACAGAGAAAAAAATACTAATTATTCGTAACCCTGCAGTACTTTACTGGCATTAATTGGACCAGTATGATCTCCGTTCGAATGAGCTATATTTGGCCTAACCATGTCCTAAGTTCTTCAGAAGATTCCACGACTATTGACATTACAGAAGACATCAAATCATTTGTCATGAAATTCAACCTCGCAATGAACATGTTTTAGATTTTAAGTGTATGACATATGATTTGAAGGTTCCCGGCATGATTATATTAACAACCAATTGCATGCTGCCCGCATCAATTTAGTGAAAAGAAATTAAGGCTCCTTTTGATAATCACATAATTTTGAAATTTGAACACTTAACAGTTACTAAAGTTTGAAAACTGAATTCGTGTTGTTTGATTAAAACGTATGAATTTGATGACTGAAATTTGAAGACTGAATTGGAATTCTTGTAAGTTTATCTCTGAGTAATGATTTAACTTTTCGTATGATTAATATTATAATTATAAAAAAAAATTTAATAAAATAATTATTATTTGTTCACAAATAAAAAATAATATTTTGAATGAAACTTTGAGCATATATATCGAAGTAGAAGATATCACATACGGGATAAAAGCAAAACAATCAAATTTAAATTGTAGTTTATATTGACGTAGATGGATATCTTGTTAGTTAATGTAATTTATTTATAAAAATTAGTTCGAGTTGATGTGCAGGCTTTGATGTTTTATACTCATAATAAAATTATTAAAAGAGTATAGAAATGAAAATCATTTTAAGGATAAAGATGAGAAGGAAAAAAAAAGAGAAAAAGAAACAAACGAATAATCATTTAAAAAATAAGTGTTCAACTTAAGGTTATCACTTTTTTTTTTTGGGATACAACTAGCCTTTCAGACGCACTCAATTAATTCAGATGGTATATTTTTTAATTATCAAACACTTCTAATCTATAAGTACTTAATTAATTCAGCACTTAATTCATGAAATTTTTCTTACCGCGATTACTAAATACATTTAATTTCATGAAATACTTAAAGAAAATTAAGTGATTGTAATATTGATTATTAAACCGAGTGTAAATGTGTTCTATTTGTTACACCTATCTTATTTGGGTATGACCATATATAGCAGGTGGGGAATAGCATGTGATGATATGTATAATGCACATTAATCGTGTAATCAAGACGTCGTAACCACGATTTTGAATGAAACAAAACAAATCCCCAAACGCAAACACCAATTTAGTGGTTAGATCGACTAAATCTCTCTTAAGTATGTTTTTTTAGAGAGCGACAATTAGCAGCCCACTTCTTGAAAATGTACAACTATCTCAAATTACTAGAGTTTCTCGACGCCTAAATCAGTCTTTTCCCCCTTTCTCTGGTCATTTATTTGTTCATTTACCTTTAAGGAATTACCTCCTTTGCCAATTGCCATTTTCCCACTGCGCATAATAATCCCTTAAATATAGAAAGAATGCAATGCCACCAGGGCAAAATAATACATGCGTAAATGTCCCAAAGTATATTCTTGAACGTGACATGTCTATCGTAAGCAGATGACACTATGACAGGGTTTCAACCAAATACTGCACATGTACTCTTTTTTTTCAAATACTTTCATATTCTTATGTTTCATTCAAAATAAACATCCAAAATCGATAATTATTTAAGGGGACACCAAAAAAAAAAAAAAGAATTTGAGCCCCAAAGTATTCCATCCTCCGCGGTCATAACTAAAACCCAAACGTCGTCTATATATCTATTTGAACTTAACACATCACCTTCTCATGGAATTTAACTCAATCAAAATCAACCACACTCAATTCTTGTAACTGTTTCAGAATAAACTATCTGGGAAGGAATGGAATTTTGCTGATTGGTAGGAGGCGCTGATGAGGATTGAATCTGAGAAGGAGATTACTCAAAGAGTCGAACTTTCTGTGTGTATCTCCTCTGGCAAATCTGGAAAGCGAGGAATGCTTGGCAATGGCAATATGATGAGTTGAAGGTGGAAGATTTTGAAGTAGTGCAGAGAGAGGAATGGGGGAATTCAGGCAAGCGAATCAGAAGCAGCAAAACAGGAATGAGGTAAGTAGCAGTCAGGGCTGGAAAGTACCAGAACGTGGAGTGTTAAGAATAAATGTAGGATCAGAAGTGAAGAAGGGAGGAGATGAAGCTGGGATTGGATTCAGTATCAGGGATGAGGCAGGTCAATTGATCATAGCACACTCAATCTTTCTACCAAAGACACTGAATTAGAAGGGATAAGGACTGCTATGCAAAAGGCTTTGTCGAGGGATTTTAGAATAGTTGAAGTCCAAATAAATGCTAAGGTTGTGGTAACTTGGCTACAAGGAACATTTCTCCAATGACACATATTATACTCATAACAAAGGACATCTTTTGGCAAAGATCATTGTTTGATGGTTGTAAGTTTATTTTTATTAAGAAAGAATGGAATTTTACTTGTCACAATCTAACTAAATTTTAGGTTTATCTAATAAGTGAACACAAAGGTGGGATTCAAACTCGTCAATGTAGCTAAATAAATTGTTTAAGGCGGATTCTATGTAAATATTGATTACGGACATATTTTTTATCTATGAAATGATTATCGCTTTTGATAAAAAAAATTAAAAAAAAAAGTTTCAGAAGAAATTATTAGGATATCCTAGAAATTTCATTTTTTCTTTCAGGAAAAAGCGATCCAACTTTAATAATATTATCAAAGTAAATAATCCCATCCATCAATTCCAGATAAAACAACCAAGGTTTCTTTTTGTGGTGGATTAAATCAAAGCAGATAAAAATAGTGATATCGTCCTTTTAACTTATTCGTGTCAAATTTTTTCTAAAACAAAAAATATTTTTTTAAGGATTAAATCCCATCTCTTGCGCTCCACGAAAAATTGTCATATGTTACCAAATCCACCCCTCCGCCGCCGGTACTGCCACTTGTTGACCATTCCAACCCGCCACCTGTTCTGTATCAGCTTCCCTCCTTCCTTCCTTCCACTCTCCTGAATTTTTGGGATGCCATTCAAATTCGTCAAAACCCTTTTAAAATCTCAATCCCATCTCCATCGTACTTAAAACCCGCTTTTTGCAATCTATTATTGTTCATGATTCATTCGAGTACTTGCGAAAAATACAGACACTGAACCAGCTTCTTCTTCTTCTTTAAACTTCAACCATCATGCCTTGGTTCAGAAACCTGGTTCACCTTTCCAGTACAGCCTTCAAATCCCAATTATCACACAAGCCTGCCGTAGCCGTTAACAAATCGATTCCCTCCCTATTAAGCCACCAATTGCTTTTGCAATTCAGTAACACCGCCGCCACCGCCACCGCCGAAAAGGTGCCGGTTGATAATGGCGGTGGCACAAAAACTTCCACTCCGACGAGTTACGCTGGGCTTGGGCCGACAAAGGGTGATCAGAAGCCGAGACTAGTTGTATTGGGCTCTGGGTGGGCCGGTTGCAGGCTGATCAAGGATATCGACACCAATCTTTACGACGTCGTCTGCGTTTCGCCGAGGAACCACATGGTTTTTACTCCTTTACTTGCTTCCACTTGTGTAGGCACATTGGAGTTCCGGTCGGTTGCAGAGCCGATCGGCCGGATTCAACCCGCCATTTCCCGGGAACCCGGTTCGTATTACTTCCTCGCTAATTCCACCGGCATTGATTTCGAAAATCACGTGGTATTTCGTCGTTCCCTCCTTTCACGCCTCCTCAATTTAGTAAATTCCGATTTCGTAAAATTTTTGCAAATCCATGATATTATTTTGCGTTGGAAATGGCGTAGGTGAACTGCCAAACAGTGACCGATGGAGTGGATACTCTGCCGCCTTGGGACTTCAAAATCTCATATGATAAGCTGGTTATTGCCTCTGGAGCAGATGCATCCACATTTGGCATCAAGGGTGTTAAAGAGCATGCCATTTTTCTGCGTGAGGTGCATCATGCTCAGGAAATTCGCCGACGACTGCTCCTCAATTTGATGCTCTCCGATGTGCCAGGTTGGTATAGAAATGCTGGCTATCTTTTAATTTGATGATGGGATTTTTAATTTTTGTGTCTTTTGAAATATCTGAATGAATAAATTTGTGGGCAGGGGTTAGTGATGAAGAAAAACGCAGGCTCCTGCATTGTGTTGTTGTTGGAGGTGGTCCTACTGGGGTGGAATTCAGTGGTGAGCTTAGCGACTTTATCCAGAGGGATGTCCGTCAAAGATATGCTCATGTCAAGGATTACATTCATGTCACCCTGATCGAGGTTTGTATAACAGATAGGATTAACAACTTGTATTTGTCTCTTTGGAAAGAGAAAGTTGTGGTTTGTCATATTGTTTTGGAATTAGAATGATTTGTTAGTTTCTTTGTAATTATTACAGGCAAATGAGATTTTATCTTCGTTTGATGATCGCCTTCGGGTATATGCAACGAAGCAGTTGATTAAGGTGAAATGAATCTAAACTCACATATTCCATTATCATAGTCCTTCTACTTATTTTCTCCGCAGTATCATAAATGCTCTTTCCCACATTTTTATTAAAATTTATAGGGGGAAGAGATGGGGTAGTGCATTTACATTTGCTTTCTTGAAGATGGTTTATTTGAAGGATGTGAATTATCACCCCGAAATTTTTTTAATGTAAGTTGTGGTTAGGTGGAGGAGTATCCATGTTGCTGCATTTCTTTCTATCTAGCTTGGTCTCCAAATGATATGTTGTTATTCAGAATATGTCTTGTGATCTTTTTGTTGAACCTAATTTAGTAGTTTCTCAGTCAGGAGTTCGTCTGGTCCGTGGTGTTGTAAAAGATGTTCAACCTGAAAAGATAGTTCTTAGTGATGGAACTGATGTACCTTATGGCTTGTTGGTCTGGTCTACCGGTGTTGGCCCATCACCTTTTGTGAAGTCTTTGGATATTCCCAAATCACCTGGGGGGAGGTCAGTTGCACTTCCTTTGTTATCGCAACTCAAAACTAACAAAAGTTAAAGATCTCTGCTTTCAGTTAATAATGTTTCCAATACTTCTTGGAATACTTCTTGGATATTCCTTTGCCGTTCTTCCAACTTAAATGATTCCTGGCAATGTTGTTCTTTCACCATCTCCAAGTGTGGACATGCTGAATATGTAGTCAACGACCAATTACTGCAATGCTGCTCTTTATAGTATTCTTCATGGCCTTGTTCATCTCCTTTACTGTTTGTTTCTTGGGATATCCAACTTGTTTAATTAAGCTTATTCTATCTACTTCAAAGTGGAAGGTTTTCAAGCACATTTCAGTTCAAATGCACCTTTTTTTATTAAGATATTATACTAGATTAGTTCGTAAACTTCAACTTTTCAAAGTGGAAGACTTTGTCAACATTTTACTTCTTTTCAGGATTGGAGTGGATGAGTGGCTACGCATCCCCTCTGTGCCTGATGTTTTCTCTATTGGTGACTGCTGTGGGTTTCTGGAAAGTACAGGCAAACCAGTCCTTCCAGCTCTTGCTCAAGTAAGTTGGACTATGCTCTTGTGAAGTTATCTTGAACAATGCTAATAAAATTGATGATTATGAAGTTCTTAGGAATGTTGTACTCCATTAGACAAGAAAATAGAACAAATCGCAACTATCCCCTTCTTAGATTCACCATTTTGCAAGCAGATTATTACCTCCACATTTTATTTTGTAGCAATCAACTATCATTATCAATCCGTAGATTTTACTAGCCCTAGCAGCCTAGAGCTGTTTTTCAAGGTCCTATGTCTATTCTAAACAAACTACGCTTCCATTGTTTGATCACGAAGGAAATGCATAACCAATTATGTGATTTTTGTGTCTCAAATGCGTATTACTCTTTTATGGACTATGTTTGTAGTTTAAGTTCTGTTAGTGTTATCGTTTGAGTCTATGACTTCTCTATTTTTATTTGTCTCCCTTGGTCCAGGTAGCTGAGCGGCAGGGGAAATATTTAGCACAGGAACTGAATAGAATTGGTAGTGCTGGTGGTGGGCGTGCAAATTCTTCAAAAGATATTGACCTTGGAGCTCCATTCGTCTATAAACATCTGGGGAGTATGGCTACCATAGGCAGATATAAAGCCCTAGTGGACCTCAGGCAAACCAAGGTTATTATAAGCACTAATTTAATGGATATTCTTTCCCCCTCTTTCTACCTAAGGTGTTCAGAATAGGGAAGATGTCTGAGTTCATTGTCATGTGCAGGAAGCAAAAGGAATATCCATGGCTGGATTCACTAGCTGGTTTATTTGGCGATCTGCTTACCTTACCCGCGTCATAAGCTGGAGGAACAGATTTTATGTAGCAATCAACTGGTTGACAACATTAGTTTTTGGCCGTGATATAAGTCGCATCTGAGGTAAATTTGAAAGAACCTGTGTACTGTCGCATTGCATACATCTTTGTGTTTATACTACCATGCACCGTTTAATGTAATATCATTTATTTTCATTTCCCGTGTGGCACATTCTGCTGACCAACATAACATTTAGTTTACAGTCTAAACAAATTGAAAACACCAATTTTTAGATGATTATATGAACTTCTATGGACTTAATTTATCAACAGTGTATTGGATTATCAGAGGTATTACTGATCTCAGAAGTCCATTGTGTAAATTTGCTTTGTTTTGTACCAGGAACAGGAAAAACTGGTATGTTCATCGAAGGAAATCAATTAATGGTGCTACTGAAACCCTCTCCACTCCCTCCTCTTTCCTCGCCCACCAGTACGAATTCATTTGTAGCTACAACCTTGGCTTTCATTTTTCTTGTAAGACAGGCAAGTATGGGGTTGGTCAGTTTTTTTTTTTTTTTCGCTTTCCAGTGTATCAAATTGGATCATACATGTGTTGCTACAACTACAACGCGCAGCTTAATATTTTGTAAATTTCTGATTGATAAGGAGTAATGAAATCTAGATTTCACAATGTATTTAACGAGTTATTTCGGTAATAATAGATCTGCGAGGCAGCCGATGGATTTAACTAGTCTTTAAGACAGAAAATAGGTTTGTGATGATGCCCTTAGATGTTATGGCCGTCAAATGTGCCCTATATTGATGTGTATTCAACATTCCTCCACTAAACTTTGGTTTGAAAATGAGGAAATGAGTTTTTACAGTCTACTTATTTGCCAACCATGCTCAACATGCAGAAAGGGGTTTCTCTTCGAGTATTCATTTCTTTTTGCTCACCGTTGTGCATTTCTTTCGAGTACCTAGCCAATCACACGGGGTGAGGCCTGTGGGAAAGGGGTGTAGTCTTTCCCAATGTCCCTTCGGGTCTCTCATGAGATGCCTGTACTTAGTGCAAATCAATAATAATAACGGAGACCCCAAATTGCATGTAAACTCCAGAACTTAAGACGAAACGTTGGCAGAGCCAGCGACCATACCTGTTTAGGAACTTCCGTTTCTGTATGTTTGGACAAAAACAGGGGACCATTTCTTATTTTCTTTCAAGATCTTGGATCTGCGTCCTGTGATTCTGGTAATAATTTTCCATTTTTTGGTTGCAACAACACAAACGAAGTCATATTATTGAATATTGATGATTATAATGTCGAATAACACGTAAAACCAGAGAAATGATTTGTTGGTATTTCCGTCTTATTTAGGCTTGTTGATTTGAAATTTTCCTTGTATTTTGCATTTAGTTTGTTTCTTCGTTGTCAATGATATAAACAAGACAGCAATTAATTTATGCAATTAGTAAAATCCAACTGAGAATAAATAATTTTTCATGCGTGAAGCAAATGGCAACGTACAACGCACATGATTCCCGATTTTGAGACCGTATCAATAAAAAAAGAACTTTTACAAACTCTAGCTGATCGTTACCCTCTCTATACATTGCAATCTGTAAATCATAAATGCATATTTAAAATTCAATATACTGATATTATTAATACTGTATTCCTAACATAATCTAAGCATATAATAGAATGCGTTGTAATAGCATAAGTATCTTTTTTTTAACTAATATACAGGTACCTTTTTTTTAAAAAAAAATACTGCATTCCTTTAAATACATTGTGATCTTTAATAAAAGACACTACACATGTAAATTTATTCAGTTACACGCTGTAAATGGATGCCTAATAAAATCAATTTAATACCACATGAATGATACGCATCAGATTTTAACATCCAAAAAATTAATTACCTAGCATATCTTCACTTTTATTAGGTGATCATTCAAGGCATATGATTGCATTCTATAATATTCCTTTTTCTCTCAATTAGTTTATTACCTAATATTTGAGGCCCGATATTTCACAGTACATAAACTTTAAACAGGCTGTTTTCCTACAACGTACAATTCATAAACTCTAATTAAAAATACAGCCCTACACGATAAAGCGAATCAGAATAAGGAAAAACAAGGATGAGAAGCTTCCCCGTTCTCCAATTTTTGGAGAATAGGATGGGAATGAGGGTCTTTCTCTTCTGAATGACTTTTGTTTTTCCCCTTCCTGATATAGAGAAAAAAGGAGAATTTAAAATAAAAAAAAAAATAGAAAAGAGGAGAAATGAAATGAAAGAAAAAGATCTGCCCAAGAAACAAGCTTTGGTGGTTTATACACGCAGGAGAATCCCAGGTGTTGTACGTCCACTACTAATTCATTTATATGTATTTTGTTCATAATCCCATTACTTACGTTTTTAATATGCATTTTTTTCGATTTTATAATTTTTTTTTCCTACAGTGTTCATATACGTATGATGAAAATCGAAAGCTCCAGGTGTGTGGGTTTATTCACCAAACAACCAAAACACCCAAAAAATTTTAAGACTTTTTTTTTTTTTTTTTTTAAATTTCTCCCCTATTTGAGTATTTGTCTTGAAGAGGATGAGCTCTTCTAATACGGCATCAAATCATGGTTTCTGTTCATAATTATGACAAATTCGAGTTTATTTTTATGTAGCCAGAGGAATATTCCCCACTACAAATTTTTTTTTTCCCCCTAACAAAAGTTTTTCTTCTTCTAGTAGTTCAAATTAAGACTAGAACAGAATCCCGATACTTATTCTTGAATTCTTTGAAATTTCTCTAGTCTTTGTGAGAATAAGTTATATGAGTAATATTCCCTAAGTTGAATTAACGTTTTTTAAAGGGACTTCCAAAGCTCTAGTCACAGCAATTACACAGTTGTTACAAAGCATAAGAATACTACCAGTAACATCAAGTCATCAAAGATGGCAACAGATACTCAAAAAGAGCGTCAATATTTAATTAATTAGTATCCAATAGGCTAGAAAGGGGTTGTTGAGAAAAGGTACGAACTACAAAATGGCAGATTGTAGTAACATTATGAAATTGTTTTTAGGTTTATTTAAGAGTGGTACACAGAGTTTGGAATAGTAAAAGGATGAAATATAAGCCTAATTATATATTGTATTCTCCCCTTATCAAAAAAAAAAAATCACATTATAAAATGATTTTATAATTGTGATAACTGTTGAAAAAATTAAAAAAAAAAAAGGTTATAAAATGTGTTGGATACTGTTTAAAGTATCCCAAATCTAAAAAAATATCTGTAGCATAAACTAAATTTTTAGTGTTTTGTCTTAACATGGTGACAAGTTTGTGTCAAATGGTACATCTGAGAAGAAGAAATCCTAGGGAATAGTGAAGTACCCCCCCCCCAAAATGCTATTAGGGTTACCCCCAAAAAGAAGGGGAAAGAAAAGGAGAGTTACTAGGGGTAAAAGACCAGAAAACATCACACATATCCCACATTTACTCTGTTTAGTTACTTTTCCCACATGAATATTCTCAAAACTCCTATAAATTCTAACTCTACGCTCCAACATTGTAGGATTTTTCCTTCATATAGGACTTACTCAAGGAAAGGAAACAAAGCAAATAAAATCGCATTTCACCTGATTTCCCAAATTCCGTTTTTGATTCCCAAAAATCATGCAGCAGAGCAAAATTTCTAAGCGACCCTTTTGTTTTCTGGGGAAATTATTACACTGTACGGTTTTTTGTGTCTACCATTTTTATTCTTTTCATACTAAAATAAAATATGCAGATTTTTTCTTTCTTTCGGTTCATAAATTGCAGAATCTCTTTTTTTCTTTGTTTTTTGGTCTGCAGATTTGAGTCGGCATTCTCTTTCGGCACTTTCGGCAGGAATCACAGACTCAGAAAAGGCTCATAGTATAAGTACTCTGAATATGGTACATGGGTATGATGATACGAAGAACACCAAGGAGGAGGAGGAGACGGATCGGGAAATGGATTTCGACCCGGGTGCCCCGCCTCCGTTCAAGATTGCTGAGATTCGGGCCGCCATTCCCGAGCATTGTTGGGTTAAGAATCCATGGCGTTCATTGAGTTACGTCCTTCGAGACGTCCTTGTCGTCTCTGTTTTGATAGCTGCGGCGGTTTATTTGAACAATTGGGCGTTTTGGCCGTTTTATTGGGCTGCTCAGGGGACAATGTTCTGGGCAATTTTCGTTCTTGGTCATGACTGGTAAATTAAATTACTACTAATTTGCATTTTCAGAATGAAAAAATGAGATATGAATATCTGTTTTTCGACTCTGTTTTCCTGTTCTGTTATTACAGTGGCCATGGGAGCTTTTCGGATAGTCCTACGTTAAACAATGTAGTGGGGCACATTTTGCATTCTTCAATCCTCGTACCCTATCACGGATGGTTTGCTTCATCAAAACTCTACCATTTTTTCAATTCGTTGTTTTTTTAAGTTTATATAAAGTTCATTGAACCAAATTTCATGAATCATGTGTTACAGGAGAATCAGCCACAGAACTCATCATCAGAATCATGGGAATGTTGAAAAGGACGAATCTTGGGTCCCGGTAAACTCACAATTTTATTTGTAGTTTTTTTTTTTTTTTTGTTACAGTTTCTTACATGTTTTAGCTGTCTTTTGAACTTTGAGATTAACAGCCCAATGCTTACAATAACTACTATTTTAAGCCTGCCAACTTTTATTTTATTGTCTTTTTATTTACCACTGCAAATATCCTGAACATTTATGATATTCTATTATTATATTCTTGTTTCTGCAGTTGCCTGAAAAGGTGTTCAAGAATCTTGACTATTCAACCAAATTCCTCAGATACAAAATCCCTTTCCCGATGTTTGCGTACCCTTTGTATCTGGTATGATTTCTGATCGATCTGATTCATATAATATTCTTCATTGTGAATTGTGTTTTAATGTTATGTGTACGTTGTACTAATAATGTAACAATAAGTGTGACGGAAAATCTCATTTATAACCCGATGGTGTATCGTGACAGTGGCGTAGAAGTCCAGGGAAAACGGGCTCCCATTTCAACCCGAACAGCGATTTGTTTCAACCAAGTGAAAGGAAATACGTGATGACTTCCACAATTTGTTGGTCTCTAATGGTGGTTTTGCTTCTTTCCCTATCAACCATATTTGGTCCTTTTCAGATGCTCAAGGTTTACGGGGTTCCTTACTTGGTTAGTCTTTCTCTTTTCAGCCTCGTACGAAATTCTACAATTCTTCCTTAAATTTTGGAAAAATTCCAACAATTTTCTGTTGGATGCATTTTTACAGGTGTTTGTAATGTGGTTGGATGTTGTAACTTACTTGCATCACCATGGGCATGAACAGAAGCTTCCCTGGTATCGTGGCAAGGTATTGGATTGAGCTTTAAAAGTGGCAAGTTTTTTATGATTGTTGAAAATGGATTTCGTGCGCGGAGTTTAACTATGTTTTGTTACACGTAAAGTGTTGCCTAATTGTTTTGAAATTGCGATTTCAGAGTTTACGTATCTCAAATTTTGACGTAATTCTCTAATCATGAAACAGGAATGGTCTTACCTTAGAGGTGGACTTACCACAGTTGATCAAGATTATGGATTGTTTAATAACATCCATCACGACATTGGTACACATGTCATCCACCACCTTTTCCCTCAGATCCCGCATTACAACTTACAAGAAGCGGTAATATTCAATTAAAAACCTTACAGAAATTCGATACGATTTTATTATTATTGTGTCTATCATTACTCATTACAGAAATGTGACTTTAATCACTCAATTGAATATTGGAATTGCAGACCAGGGCAGCTAAACCAGTGTTGGGAAAATATTATCGAGAGCCAAGAAAATCAGGGCCGATTCCCTTTCACTTGGTTGGCAATTTGGTGAGAAGCATCAATAGAGACCATTATGTAAGCGACAATGGAGAAGTTGTGTACTATCAGACTGATCAAAACCTAAGCGGATCTTTTATCAAGAAGAAGGGTGAATGAGAGACCATACATTCCGAATGAATAACAACAAAGAAGAAAGCAGGAAAGCAGGAAATCAATAGTTCAAAAATTGGTTACCCTGATGGGGTTATAATTATTTACCCAGCATTACTTCAAGTCAACTAGAGATTTTGATAATCATTACGTTCAAGTATGAGAAGAATTTATATCATCAAAAGTGATAGTTTAACAATTTGGTTCTGTTTAATCGCCAAATTCATTTTACCAAAGTTATGTTAATGTTTGCGAGACTTTTGGCGGGCTCTGTAATAAACAAATAAGTATTTGATAAAAATTTCGGGACAGAGGAAATATTATTGCATATACACACGTCAAGGTTCGAACTATGATTTTAGTTAATCTCCTACGAAGGACTAAATCAAGTGCTCCTTAATCTCATGATTTTAGTCATTAACTCTGCTTGATTTCATTATTAATTGGTGGCGTTTAAAAATCTTTTTACGGGAATGGCTTGGTTCTTTTTATTATTCTCTCCATAAATCATATTGTTTATGTGGGTCAATTTCGAAAACTAACCACATATGTCAGCCCAGGCCCCAAAGCCTGCGTCAAAATTTTCATATATAAGGTTACGTTCCATTTTTAAAGATTTGTGTATGTGTTAAAGTTGAAAAAATACTCCTAACATCATGCTCAACATGTCTCTTAATTACTTGAAGTCTATAATCAATGTAGCGTTGGGATATAAGGACACTGGTGAAGAAAATCATAAAAGCAAGCAAAGTATGTACAGCGTTTGTATTTTACATTTCTAAAAAAATTAAATATTCTTTTTCTTTCTTAAAATAATTATCTAATTTGTATTTTCATTATACAAATTATACACATGTTTACTTGTAGAATATATATAATCGTATAGAAGGGTTTACTATAGTGAAAAGGTTAAAGGGAAAAAAAAATGTTTGGAATTCATTTTCTTTTTAATATCGGTTTTGGGCTCAACAAAAAGCCCAATAAAGAAAAAAAATTTACCTCACCTTAGCAGGATCATCGGCCTGTCAACCTGAGTTGACGAACTGTTGTGAAAGTTGCGGATATATATATTGGACAAGTTGACAACATTTAGGCGATGTGGGACAAATACAAGAAAAGTGCCCACTCTACATCAGCTAAGGCCCGAAAGCCGGGCAATAACCCAGTTCGCAGAAACTCCATTTCAGACAGTTTGACGCACGGTGTAGTAGAAAACATCATCATTAATCCAAAAGTTAGAATTAGAGGATGTGCTCCGTTTAATTATCATCAATCATCAATTTCATTATTATAGAAGCTACGTTACATTTTTCAGAGAATTTGTGTTGGACAAATCAGCTCAACACACAGAAACGTAAACAAAGTTTTTGGAATTATTAACATGTACAAGAATCAATTAACACAAAACAATTCATGAGGCTGTCCCTTTTGTATCTATTTTTTTTTCTTTCAATACAAAAAACAATTAAACAAAGAGATTAACATTGATCATGAAAAAAAGTCTCTCTTCCAAACCTTAACCTCCTACTACTTTTGAATTGATTATTTGTATACGATTTACCCCCAAGGGTTTTTGACAAAAAAAAACGCAAAATAATAATAACAATAATAATAATAAGTGTAAAGTTCACTTTCTTTTACATTTAGCTCATGTACAGAACTGTTATGTTAAGATTATGATTACTTGGTTAGAAGAGAATGTACTATGTTTTAAGAATCATACAATATATTAAAACAACAGCTCTTGAGGCAGGTATTTCCGCCTGTTTCTCCCTTCCTAGGACACGTGTCACCTCCTGATGCAAAATTTTCCCTTCAAAATCCTATTATGCTGATGTGCCATTTTGTAGTAATTTAGACTTAATTTTATTTTTATCAAATGTTGTAAACCCATTGCAAGCTGGAATGGAGAAAGTGTATTATTACTTTTATTTCTATCTTCCACTTTGCATGTGCGCCGCCCAATTAATTAATTAAATAGTGCAGCGTACACATAATTTTCAGTTTGACGATGCACCCATTTCCTCTCTCATTTTTCCCTCTTTCCAGCTTCACGTCAACATCCTTTGTTTCTTCCAAAAAAAATCATCATCATTCTATCTACTAAAGCAAGACACTTGAGGCAGCTTTTCCCGCTCAATTACCCCCCCCCCCAAATGTACACGTGTCCTGCTGTCGTTCACTCAGTTCCCACCTAAAACTACATCAGTCTATTTGTTGTATTTTGAGTCTTCCATTTTTTTTATTGTTATATGTCAGGCCTTCTTTCCGATACACGTGTACTGCTATGTTAAATACATCCCGCCAATTCCATCCATAGTGTCTCTATTTTTTCTTTACTGGAAGTGGATTGTTGCCACAAACCCCAATAGCTGAATTTAACTTTAAAATTATGCTTTTCTTTTTGGAAATCGATCCGGCATGCTTATTTCTTCCCACAAGTTGTCGCCCAAGCAACAATTTTTTTCTTGAAACCAACCCGAACACTAATTTTTAATTTAATTAGTCACTTTTCTAAATCTTATCAATTGATATCAGTATCTATCAAAGACCTATTCGATAGTTGCTGAAACAGTGAAGCTGTTTGTTTTCCTCCAATTTAGAGCGCATTCGTACTCGGACTCATTTGCTTCCTCTGTTCTTCTTCTCTCTATCTTATCCTTCATCTTGCAAGGTGATTAAACAGTTCAATGTCCACCGAACGAATTTCTTCGGCTTTCAGATCTCTCAACTTCGCTAGGTATGTTGCTTTGAATTCGCTAGATTATATTAGAAGAGAATGTACTCTGTTTCAAGAATATATCTATCAAAGTCCAGAACATCATCTATTTCACTTGGTTTCATTGAGAATGGAAGCATTTTTTCTTCGATAAATAAAACAAAAGCACTTATATCGTTCGTTGCTCCATGTTCGATTCTGGGTCGATCCACGATTCGATGTAAAAATATCATTAAATTTTTTTTCTAAAAAAAAAAAGCTTCCAGTGATTTATCTTACAAAATTTGCATATTTGCTTCCAATCCCCGTTTAAACGTAATCACAATTCATTAAAAAAAAATAGTACTACAATATTTTTCTAAAGGAGAATCTATTGTACTTAATTAAAGTAACATACAAGAAGTACATGTATCAACTCCACGTTTAATAATTTCTCGCCAAAGGTCATTTGCAGTGCAAAATAATTTCTGCCACGTGGCTTCCTAAAAATTCAGAAAAAAAAATCCATAGAAAATGAAAAACAAGCCCTCCGTCACTTTCCCATCCTATCCTATCTTGAATGGATTTGATTTGATTTGCTGATTTAGTTCCAAATGAAAATGCCATTTCAAATTCAAAAAATCAACCAATTTATCCTAAATTTTGGCCGATTGCTTTGGGAAAATTAAATTGATACTAAAGATGAGGAGGTCGTGTGAGACTCAAATAAGTGCAAGGGACATCAACAACAAGGAATCCATTCGATACTGAAACTGTAACAAGCAGGCAACAGAAATAACAGCAACACAGATTCAGACTCGACTGAATCATCAATGAGAAAAAACCAACCGGGGACCGACCAAGCCAAAGATGAACCACCGAGAATTGGATGAAGGGCTAGTTAATTGGCTAGCAATGAAAACGTGCATCTGGTGAACAATATTGAAGAAGAAGATCAAGCCGCCGCGAGGAAATAGTTTTCAATTTATTCTTCATCGTCGACTCCTTAGAAGAAGTGGAGGATGCTGATCAAAAGGGGTCGAAAAATCGTGCAGATCTGACCGAAAGTAGACCCAACCACCAGTCTAGAAAAGATTCGATCATTTTACCTAAAAGACATACGGCACAAATGGCCGATTCTCCACATGGTACAATATTTCTTGAATTTTTAATTTCTTGAATTTTCTTCCGTTACAATTCCGGCAACAACATCTGAAAATATTTTGGGATTCTGCAGTCAAATCCTACAACCTTTTGTGCTCTTTGAAAATATGGAGTTCTATCCAAATTGCTTTGATTTAGTGTACACTAATAATTGGTTTGGACCTGGGAGGCTCAGACTATACGCTGCGTGAGGCTTTGGATTTTAGTTCAACCCGATTAATGGATCTTCGAATTGAAGAAATGACTCGGAGCTGGGGAGTTAAAAATGTGGATTTGTCTAAAATCTTCCAATGATTTGCATCTTCTTTTAGCGACTTAATCTCTTCCTGCTCCAAATCAGAACCATCAAGGTACGCTGCACTCAAAGTCTGGTTTTTTTTTTTTCAAGTTTTAATTCTGTGAGCTATTACAGCACTAACAATGTTTTGAAGTTATCAATTTGGGATAACAATTTTGTATTTTGAATTGTGACTTTACTTTCTGTTTGTGTTTTGCATAATTACACAAAAGGTGAAAGCTGTTTATTGGTTTTTAAATGTATCAGTTGGATACTCTATTCTTCCAAATAGATTGATCTGCATCTCTTGATGTTAGGCTTCTGCAAGAGTTGCAAACTTTAAGTTGCCCGAACCAAATTCGTTTGTCTATAAGCATGAATCCGGCCAGCATTCTTAATGACATCTTTAATAAACTTATGCACAAAATCAATAGGTATGCCATGTTTCAGTTTCTTTTGCTTCTATTGGATGCTATTTGTTTCATATGATGCTTTGATAAAGTTTGAAACTTTTCAGTTCTTTTGGTGAATTCTTGGATGTTCCTATAGATTAAACAAGATTTTCATAGGGAGCCTCTCTCCTCTGACTAAAATGGTGTATAACAATTATCTGTTTGAATGTTTTCCTCAGTGAAAAAAGTATCTTAGATTATTTTTACCTTCTACCAAGTATGAAGAAAAAGTTGACAATCCTTCTTAATGTTATTGGAATTATCAGGGGCCATCATGCCATCAAAGGTTTTGAGGGACGTGCTGTTTAAATTTAAAATTAAAGAAACAGAATTCAAATGGTCGTTGAGAAAAAAAAACATGGTTTTCAGTGCTGTTGTGTCAAAACTAGAGGAAAAGCATGAGAAAATCGTTAGGAATCCTCAAATTTCTGGGAGAATCGCTCCCCCTACTTCAGTGAGAGAGGTACAATTTCCTGTAATTTTTATCGGTTTCTTAGTTTGTTTGCGTCGTTACTTCATATGGATAATTATTGAGTTAAAGATTAGTTGATCATGTGCTTGAACTGAAAGATGAAATCTTGCTTTCATGGAAAAGTGTACTATTGAATATCGAAACCTTAAACATTCCAGCCCATTGCATTTGTTATTCTGTATTCATATGCTTTTGATTAGATATTAGGACAAAGCTTTAATGGATGTGTATAGAGTAGATATTATTGTTATGAATTGATCAAGACTCTGGGTTTTCCTATTTCATTTTCACTTTATGATAATGGAAAAAAA